AACGTAGTAAAAAATACAATTTTTAACTAAAATCTATGAATATTCATTATCTATTTTCAGAGCCCTGTTTCATTATTTTAAGAGGAAAATAGTCAATATTTTACTTTCTATGAAACACATAGGTAATAATAATCAGTAACAATCGGCCTCTTATTTGGAGTTGGAGGAAGGATGGCAGTTGGCAACAGGCATTCTGGGGGTGTGAAAATTGAATTATAAGAGGTCTACATTCTCCTAAGCCATGTTCCACCCTTGCTCTTGTTCTCTCCCCAGTAGCTTCTTTACTGCTCCTTTAACACCCTTATTTCTCAAAGTATAAATGAGGGGGTTGAGCATTGGAGTTATAAGTCCATAGAAGAGTGCAAGAAGCTTGCCTTTCAATTTGGCTGAATTGCTCTTGGGTGCCATATATGCATAACCACTAATGGCTGAGCCATAGAACATAATGACCACCAGCAGATGAGACCCACATGTGTTGAAGGCCTTCTTGCGACCTTCAGAAGATTGGATTCTTACCACTGCTCTGACAATGTTGATGTAAGAGAATAGAATTAATCCAACTGGGATAACTTTTATGACCACCACAGCAGCATACATTTCCACTTCATTGATCCATGTATCAACACATGATAATTGAAGCATGGCAGGTACCTCACAGAAGAAATTCTCCACCTGATATTGACCACAGCGAGGTAACAAGAAAGTCAGCACTGTTTGCACCAAAGAGTTGCTGAAACCTGTTACCCAAGCCACTGCTGCCAGTTGTTGGCATAGCCGGGAATGCATGATAACTGTGTAGTGGAGAGGCTGGCAGATAGCTACATAACGATCAAAGGCCATTACTGAGAGAAGTACACATTCAGTGGATCCTAAACCAAGGAAGATGAAAAGTTGAGCTATGCATCCTGTGTAGCTGATATTTCTCCAGTGGCTCTGTATGTTGACCAGCATCTGGGGGACAGTGGAGGTAGTATACCAAAGGTCCAAAAAAGAGAGATTAGCCAGAAAGAAATACATGGGGGTGTGGAGTCTGGGATCAAGACGTGACACGATGATGA